TACGACGCGAAAGTTGTTGTTACGTACGCACTATGCACTATGCACTACGCACTACACACTATGCACTATGCACTATGCACTATGCACTATGAACTATGCACTATGCACTATGCACTATGCACTATGCACTATGCACTATGCATGCACTATGCACTATGCACTATGCACTATGCACTATACACTATGCACCATGCACTATGCACCATGCACCATGCACCATGAACTATGCACTATGCACTATGCACGATGCACTCTGCACTATGCACTACAGTGTATGCACTATGCCCTATGCACTATGCATTATGCACTATGCACTATGCACTATGCACTATGCACTATGCACTATGCACTACAGTGTATGCATTATGCACCATGCACCATGCAGTATACACCATGCACCATGCACCATGCACTATGCACTATGCACCATGCACCATGCACTATGCACTATTCACTATGCACCATGCACCATGCACCATGCATCATGCACCATGCGCCATGCACCATGCACCATGCACCATGCTCCATTAACCATGCACCATGCACCATGCACTATGCACTATGCACGATGCACTATGCACTATGCACTATGCACTATGCATTAGGCACTATGCACTGTGCATTATGCACTATGCACTATGCACTATGCACCATGCACCATGCACTACGCACTACGCACTATGCACCATGCACCATGCACCATGCACCATGCACCATGCACTATGCACCATGCTCCATTAACCATGCACCATGCACCATGCACCATGCACTATGCACCATGCACTATGCACTACAGTGTATGCATTATGCACGATGCACGATGCACTATGCACTATGCACTATGCAGTATGCACTATGCACCATGCACTATGCACTATGCACTATGAGCTATGCACTATAGTGTATGCACCATGCACTATGCACTAAGCACTATGCACCATGCACTATGCACACTGCACGATGCACTATGCACTCTGCACTATGCACCATGCACCATTCACAATGCACAATGCACCATGCACCATGCACCATGCACTATGCACTATGCACTATGCACTATGCACTGTGCACTATGCACTATGCACTATGCACTATGCACCATGCACTATGCACTACGCACTATGCACTATGCACTATGCACTATGCACTATGCACTACAGTGCATGCACCATGCACCATGCACTAAGCACTATGCACCATGCACTATGCACTATGCACTGTGCACTATGCGCTATGCACTATGCACCATGCACCATGCACCATGCACCATGCACTATGCACTATGCACTATGCACTATGCGCCATGCACTATGTACTATGCGCCATGCGCCATGCACCATGCACCATACACCATGCACAATGCACAATGCACCATGCACCATGTACCATGCACCATGCTCCATTAACCATGCACCATGCACTATGCACTACAGTGTATGCATTATGCACGATGCACTATGCACTATGCACTATGAAGTATGCACTATGCACTATGCACTATGCACTATGCACTATGCACTATGCGCTATGCACTATAGTGTATGCACCATGCACCATGCACCATGCACCATGCACTATGCACTATGCACCATGCACTATGTACTATGCGCCATGCACCATGCGCCATGTAGTGCGTTGTGCATAATGCATAGTGCATAGTGCATAGTGCGTACCATGTAGTGCATAGTGCAAAGTGCATAGTGCATAGTGCAAAGCACATAGTGCAAAGCACATAGTGCAAAGCACATAGTGCAAAGCACATAGTGCATAGTGCATAGTGCATAGTGCGTTGTGCATAATGCATAGTGTATAGTAGATGGTGCATACACTGTAGTGCATAGTGCAGTGTGCATAGTGCATAGTGCATAGCGCATAGTGCATAGTGAATAGTGCTTAGTGCATGATGCATGGTGCATGGTGCATGGTGCATGGTGCATAGTGCATAGTGCATAGTGCTTACTGCATAGTGCATGGTGCATTGTGCATGGTGCATAGTGCATGGTGAATGGTGCATGGTGCATGGTGCATGGTGCATAGTGCATAGTGCATGGTTCATAGTACATAGTGCATAGTGCATGGTGCATAGTGCATAGTGCATAGTGCATAATGCATAGTGCATAGTGCATAATGCATAGTGCATAGTGCAGAGTGCAGAGTGCTTAGGTGCATAGTGCCTATTCATGGTGCATGGTGCATGGTGAATAGTGCACGGGGCATGGTGCATGGTGCATGGTGCATGGTGCATAGTGCATGGTGCATGGTACATGGTGCACGGTGCACGGTGCACGGTGCACAGTGCATAGTGCATAGTGCATGGTGCATAGTGTATAGTGCATAGTGCATAGTGCATGGTGCATGGTGCATGGTTCATAGTGGATCGTGCATCGGTCGTGCATCGTGCATTTAGTTGCATCGGTGCAGAGTGCATATGTGCATTGGTTGACATAGTGCATAGTAAATAGTTGCATTGGTGCAGGTGGGCATGACACTGCAGTGCATTGGTGATAGGGCATGTGCCATGAGTGCATAGGCATAGCGCATAGTGCCATTATGTGCTGTGCATAGTTGCATAGTGCATTAGTGCATGGTGGGCATAGTGATATGATGAGTGCATGGTGCATGGTGCACGGTGCACGGTGCATTATGCATAGGTGCATAGTGGCATAGTGATGGTGCATGTGATGGTGCATGGGGCATGGTGCATAGTGGATGTGCATCGTGCATCGCTGCATCGTGATGGTGCATAGTGCATGTGCGAGTGCATTAGTGCACAGTGCGATGTTAAATAGTGCATTGGTGTCATGGTGCATACACTGCAGTGCATAGTGGCTAGCGATTAGCGCATAGCTGCAGTATGCATAGTTGCATAGTGCATAGTGCATAGGTGCTAGTGCGATGACGGTGCATATGTGCATTGTGAGGTGATGGTGACACCGGTTGGCTACGGTGCACGGTGCATATTCATAGTGATAGGTGATGGTCATAGTGCATAGTGATGGTGAATTGGTGCTATGTGCATAGTGGATCGTTGCGTCTTGCACTGGCGTGCATAGTGCTAGTGTCATAGTGCATTTGGTGCATAGTTGATAGTGCGCATGGTTGCATAGTGCTAGTGCTGGTGCATGGTGCGATGGTGCATGGTGCAGTAGTGCATATGTGCATAGGCATTAGTGTCTTGGTAGTTGATAGTGGCATAGTGATAGGTGCTACACTGTATGCCTTGTGCAGAGTGCATAGTGTAGTGGCTGTGATAGCGCATAGTGCTATTGGTCATAGTGCTAGTGCATATGTGCATAGTTGCTTAGTGCGTTGTGCTAATGAAGTTAAGTGCATTAGTGCAGATTGCATAGTGCATAGATAGTGATAGTGCGTTTACACTGTAGATGCAGAGTGCTAAGTGATATGTTGTAGTGCGTTTGGCAATGCATAGTGATTGTACTGGTGTCATACACTTGTCAGTGGCATAGTGCGAGTTGATAGTGCATAGTCGCATAGGCATAGTGTTATGTGAAATATTGTTAGTGCATGTTGCATGGTGCATGCGTGATGGTGCATGGTGCAATGACGTGCTGGTGATAGAGTGCATGTTCATAGTACCTGTGCAGTAGTGCATGGTTTCATAGTTGCATAGTGCTAAGTGGCATTAGTGTATTGGTGCACAGTGCATAAGTGCATATGCATGACTGGTTAGGTGCAGAGTGCATAGTGCATAAGTGCAGTAGTGCAGAGTGCATAGTGCATAGTGCTAGTGCATAGGCTAGTGCATGGATTGCATGGTGCATGGTGCCGGTGCCCGGGCATTCTCGGTGCATAGTTTGCATAGTGCATAGTTGATGATGCAGTAGTGCATGTGCATGGTTGATGGTGGCATGGGTGCATGGTGCATAGTGGATCGTGCATTAGTGCTGTGGATCTGATAGGTGGCATAGTGCATCGGGCATCGTGCATAGTGCATCGTGAATTATAGGTGCATAGTAAATCGTGCATGGTGATGGTGCTCACTGCAGACGGCATTGATGTAGTGGCATAGGCACAGTGAATAGTGATCGTGCATGGTTGCATAGCTGCATTAGTGCAAAATAGTGCTCTTGCATAGTGATACTGATCGTGCATAGTAGATACACTGTGTGCATAGCTACTATTGCATAGTGCATAAGTGCATAGTTGCATAATTGCTTAGTGGAATCCGTGCATGATGCATAGTGCATTACAATGTACAGTGCATAGTGCAGGTGATAGTGCATAGTGCTTAGTGAATAGGCATAGTTTGCATTTAGCGCATTTAGTGTCAGAGTGATAGGTGGCAGAGTGCATAGGTGGCATAGGGCCTAGTTCATGGTAGCATGGTTATGGTGCTGTGCATGCCGGATGGTTGCTGAGTGCCGTGCACGGTGCACGCGTGACGGTTGCATAGTGTCATTAGTGCAATAGTGATAGTGCATGGTGCTTGGTGCAATTGTGCTAGTGGATCGTGATAGTGCATCGTGCATCGTGCATCGTGCCTAGTGCATAGTGCATGGTGCATTTATGGTGGCATGAGTAAATGGTTGCATGGTTGCATGGTTGAATCACACTGCAGTGAATAGTGCATAGTGCATAGCGCATAGTGCATAGTGCATAGTGCATAGTGCCTATTGCATAGTGCATACTGCATCGTGCATAGTGCATACACTGTAGTGCATAGTGGAGAGTGCATAGTGCATAGTGCATAGTGCATAGTGCATAGCGCATAGTACATATTGCATAGTGCATAGTGCATAGTGCATACACTGTAGTGCATAGTGCAGAGTGCATAGTGCATAGTGCAGAGTGCAGAGTGCATAGTGCATAGCGCATAGTGCATAGTGCATAGTGCATAGTGCGTACACTGTAGTGCATAGTGCATATACTCTGTAATGGTTAATACTTGTCGTATAAGCAGACTTTCTAAGCACATCCAGTAAATGTTGTCCTGCATAAGTTCAGAAATTTGGCCAATGTGCCTGACATTAAAAACTTACAAATGCATTTCTCCTCTCATTATCACCGAGCTGCGCCTCTAAGTCTTTTAGACTCTGTACAGATACTACTCTCTGGAACTCTTCCAGAGTATTGCTGTTAGCAGCAACACGCTTCCGTTCCAGCTTTTTTACACGGTGCGATATGTCTGCTAATTTCATCAATACCATCCGTTGAAAAGCTAAAAAAATAAATAAACAAAAGCATACATTTATAAAATGATAACATATTGGTGCAATAAATGAAATGTGATTTTGTGTGAATATGAGCGAGCTGTGTAATAGACTGCAATTTTTCTGTGATAATTTCCTATTAGCTAGTGGTATATTGACCAAACATTAATTCTGGAATCGGTTATGAAAATAGTCTAAAATGCCCCCCATGTCATAGTGTGATAAATTGTCCTTACCAGCAGTCTCAACAGGATACTGCAAGTTTTCTACTTTTTTTGGTCGTCCACCCTTGTTGCGTTCTTCCAGTACAGCTAAAAGGGAGCAATCTTAATTAATAACCTCTAGGCAGACACTACACTTTAACTAGAAGTCTGTCAGCTAAGATACAGGAATAAAGGAATAATGATTAAATTATTATCTACAACCATTGAAACATCGTTTTTGGAATATAGTCTGCAAATCTGACCCCCCAAAACTGATTAATTTGATCAGTAACTCTTCCTTTTATTTAGGAAAGGTGACGAATGCCCAGGCCAGACCACAACTAGGGGTCCAGGGACCGAGTCCATTCGATATACTTACTTTTTCCCACAGGGGTTGAACAAACAAAAGAAGGTTGACACGTACTGCTGTTTTCTGAAAAGAAAATGGAGTGTTATAAGAGTTCATGCTGGAGTCCAAATGATGTCATATGGTTAGGGTTAGAATCAAGGCTTGGACTTTCTGTCTAAACTTCAAGCCCCTATCTATACCAGAGAAATTCTCAAGTCTACACGAGACAAAATACTGATCGCAATGGAATATGTTGTATAGATTAGATTTAGTCTCGCTTTTTCGCTAGATTTTTTGCTGCTAACTTTGCCTGTCAATTCATTCATTTTTAGCAATTTATTTTAATTACTATACCTACCACTGGCACTGGTGTTATCGTCATATACCATACTGTTCAATGGTGATTCTCTGATTCCTGAAAAAATTAAAAATTGGAAAAAAATGATAATAACGACAATCTCGTTTAAAACACTATATAGCAGCGAATTTTGTTCACACATCCTTAATGGAAGCTTCTCAGTCCACTTAAAGGGTCTTATACATTCCAACAATAAATATATGACTAATAATTTCTTTGGGAATGGGACCAACACTTCCTCTTCGTAAATTTCACACTACCCCACTCTGACCAAGGGGTACATCGATATCAGGGCTGGATGGGGGGGGGGCATTAGGCCAAATCCCCCACATAATTCAATTAATTATGTTACTAAGCCTACCGCTGATATTAGATGATCTTGATGTCTTCGTTACCGGTAGTGTTCTAGGTGGTGACGGGAATTCAGGATAATTTGGATTCTCATGGTCATCTTCAACTGAACTGTTTTGTCCATTTTCTGAAATATCGATATCGGATTCATTTAATGCAGAAGTTTAAATGCAGAAATATTGACATAGGTCGCCTCCTGAAATCACAATTTATGTATTATTCTCTGTTGAAGAGGGAGAATTGGGCCATGCGCCTATAATGTTGAGTAAGAGATCAAAGTTTAAATGAATTTACGATGTACCGTTAATTCATACAGCAGAAAATAACTTTAACACTATTGCTGGGAGCGAATTCAAGATCCCGTATTAGAGGTGAATTGCCAATACTGAGGTTTCTTTATGCAATAACATACATTTGTAGTAACATTTCACTTCCTTAATTATTTATACTGAAACAGCTTTATAACACGTCACTTTCCACGAGGCACCATTGTAATATGCTGTCAATTCTGAAAGTAGCAAGAGCAATATATATGTATACAATAAAAAATTCATGAGTTATTTAATAAACCTGCCTCCGGTATTAGATAGTCTTGATTTCTTCGTTACCGGTAGTTTTCTAGATGCTGATGGTGATGGGAATTTAGGATGATTCCGATTCTCCTGGTCATCTTCTTCAACTGAACTATTTCCTTCATTTTCTGAAATGGCGATATTGGATTTAATTAATGCACAAGTTTAAATGCAGAAACATGACATAGCTAGGTTGCCTCCTGAAATCACATTTTATGTACTATTCTCTGTTGAAGCGGGAGAGGCGGCCTATAATTTTGAGAAAGAGATCTGATATGACATCAAAGTTTAGGCTGAACAAACTAGAAAAACGCCAATGGCCAGCCTTTTAATGGATTTTCATTAGCTAGAAAAGAAAATACCAATATCTTGACATTACAGAATGGTGTTACCTCCTTTCATTTAACAATTGAAAAAAAAAAAAAGATACCGTCAAAATTGTATTCATATTGTGGATCTGATGGTGGTTTAATTTTGCGTCGCTTGGAGGATGGTTCATCTTCCAACTCCAGCTCAGTGGCCGTCGAGTCCTCCACGTTCTCAGCTTCCTTACGTGTACCTGAAAGCCAACAAAATTTATTAAATTAATGCATAAAATAATTTTAGAATACATCACTGAAAACAAAATTATAGCACTTATGAATTACAATCTATTCCATCAACATCTTCCACCATAACGTGTTTATTATATTTAACATGTGAAACCGTGTTTTAAGGGAGCGATCCAATGTGTTAATAGATAGAAATAAATGTAATAAAGGACAGTATATAACATGGTAATGGTACTTACGGAAAAAACCTTTTACTTTTAAAATTGTATATGCATCCCACGATGCATCTGGCTCTGCACAATTTCTCAACAAAGAATACGGATTTTTTGTTGATGCTGGAGGCCAATATAAGATTCCTGCTTTCATCCAGTTTATCGGGATAGCTGAACTGGTTTCCTTGTAGTCATCCTTGTATACCACATTAGCAAAATGAAATGATTCCTCAGCAGACATCTAAAAAAATAAAATACATTTAGGCCCTAGTGAAAAATGCATGTAGGCCCTACATACATTACTGTATGATTGAGCATATACAAGCGGAACGCCTGTACCCCGTCACCCAGTGAATTTCACAAGATATCGAGCTCACAAGATTTACACAAATCGTGCGGCAGCCATCGCCGAGATTTTGACGTAGTAACGTAGTGACCTAGTTTTCTGTAAGCCTATATACATACACATATCCACCAAATTATAAATTGACAATTTAAGTGCAGGAAGCATGGATTGTAGCAAGCTAATTCCTTGAAGTATATCCGGTATAATTATTTCGACCAGAATAATTACCCCAAGCTAATTCATTATTCTTTCGATCTTTTATCCCACTGACCAACTTATAAATCAATCCATGCAGTAATGTAAAATATTTTCACCTAAAAGTTAGAAAATTTACACAAAGTGTCAACTATTATAAGCAAAGATAGATCAAGAAACCGCTCAGCCATCCTGAATTTCCCACCCTAAAATTATTTATTTAACTTCTATTAGATATCCTAGGACCCTAAAATTCTTGATAGACCAACCTAGGAAAAAAAATCACGCGCCCGGGGGAAAGTGACACCATGATTTCAGTTTCGGGCCTGCGATGGAATCACTCTTATTAAGTTTTAGATTACCACATCACTGATCAGTCCTTCGATTAAATGATGCAGCAACGTTACATAATTAGGCCTATAAGGCGAGAGACCATATGCACCTACCTCGAAATAAGCAGCAGCAGCAGAAAAAAGAAGGGAGAAGATGGCGACATCCGAGCATGAGGATTCCAGTACCAGCCAGTACCAAAGATTCTAGAGTGCCGTAGGCACAAGATAGACCACTCTCCAATCATAGCGTAGTAGGTCATGGGTCGCCACAACCACCATTTTGGGAAGCAAGTTCACACGAANTTTAACATGTGAAACCGTGTTTTAAGGGAGCGATCCAATGTGTTAATAGATAGAAATAAATGTAATAAAGGACAGTATATAACATGGTAATGGTACTTACGGAAAAAACCTTTTACTTTTAAAATTGTATATGCATCCCACGATGCATCTGGCTCTGCACAATTTCTCAACAAAGAATACGGATTTTTTGTTGATGCTGGAGGCCAATATAAGATTCCTGCTTTCATCCAGTTTATCGGGATAGCTGAACTGGTTTCCTTGTAGTCATCCTTGTATACCACATTAGCAAAATGAAATGATTCCTCAGCAGACATCTAAAAAAATAAAATACATTTACTGATTTAGGCCCTAATGAAAAATGCATGTACATACATTACTGTATGATTGAGCATATACAAGCGGAACGCCTGCACCCCGTCGCCCAGTGAATTTCACAAGATATCGAGCTCACAAGATTTACACAAATCGTGCGGCAGCCATCGCCGAGATTTTGACGTAGTGACCTAGTTTTCTTTAAGCCTATATACATACACATATCCACCAAATTATAAATTGACAATTTAAGTGCAGGAAGCATGGATTGTAGCAAGCTAATTCCTTGGAGTATCCGGTATAATTATTTCGATCAGAATAATTACCCCAAGCTAATTCATTATTCTTTCGATCTTTTATCCCACTGTCACTGACCAACTTATAGGGCCTATATCAATGACAATCCATGCAGTAATGTAAAATATTTTCACCTAAAAGTTAGAAAATTTACACAAAGTGTCAACTATTATAAGCAAAGATAGATCAAGAAACCACTCAACCATCCTGAATTTCCCACCCTAAAATTCTTTTCATAAACCATGATGAGATAAATACAGGTTGTATGGTCGATGCAACAGGCTGCTGGCACTTTCTTCAGCAAGTGGGTTAACAATTTACCTTGTTATTCAGAATGATAAAGAGGCAAGAACACTTTTCCTTCCTCTGCTGGTAAGCACATTCCCTTAGATTTTACATCTGCAGCAGTAATTGTCATCCGAACATACACAATGTTCTCAATATTCCGACATAAATACACAAACATTTTTGATGAGGCACATGGGCGCTTATAGAAATCAGTTAAGCAAGTATGCCTTACGACATCACAGTCATATGAATTGTTGCCATTCACAGCTTTTACGAATGCATAGGTTCCATCTTTTAGAAGTAGTACACCATCTCGCGGTGTAGCCTTGATGATAATGCTCTGCTGGTCTTTTGGCTTTTGAACCATAGCACTCATTTTTTCTTTTTCTTTGAGTCGCCTGACAACTGACACTAGAGGGTTATTATGGTTTTTTACCAATTTTTTAATCATTCCAAGATAGTTCTCAAACGCAAAAGCACTTATATCATCCAGAGAGCATTTGAACTTTGACACATCATCAGCTATATGCAAGAGATTATGAATGTTGTATGTCAAAAACTTATCCTTGTACAATGCACGACACTTTGCTACAAATAACACAAGCAACTCTTTTGCATAGACAACCTGAGCTGCAGAGCTGTTTTGACAGAGAAGTGAAATGGCAACACTCAACATAACGAAATGATCATAGAAATCACGTGCCAAGATACCCTTGAAGGCAACTAATCCTGTGTATAGTAAAAACTGTCTGCATTCAGTTGCCTTCCATCGGTCCACAACAGATAATGGCCTTGGTCTTCTGGCAAATTCCGACGGAATAAATGGCACGAATGACAATAAGCGATCGGAAATCCTAAGTCTGTGCAATGCAGCTATTCGGACACCTCGATCACCCTTGATAAGGAAACGCAGCAATCGTCTAACAGTACCAAGGCATACCAGATGCATATAATCTAACACAAAACAGGACACCATGCCAATACCTAAATTTTCAAGTGGAGAGTCACCGGTCCTATAAATTTGATACTCATCATTTAAGAATCCATCATCAGTTCTGAGAGTTCCAATCACAGGATATACTACTCGTCCTTCCCAAGTACCAGTTACATCACATCGTTCACAGCCGTGGTAAGAATTGTGTCCCAAAACTCTTTTTATAAATGATCGTGCTGGTGCATCACATATGAAAGATCGGATTGTAACTGTGTAAGTAACACCCTGATGAACAAATCCATTTCTTATCAACTCTTCTGCTTCTAACACAAAATCTTCCAAATAATCATCTAATGAATCTGGTTTACTGTTACCACTGAACAACGATACAATGTATGGGTGAAGTCTAACTTCAGATTTAACCTTAACCAAGATGGGCCAAAATTGTTTTTGAGAACTTTTGGCTATAGGCAATCCATCAATATTCACATCAAGAGTAAAACTGTTGTCAATAGCATATTGCAAATGTTTTTGTAGAATGTCTTTTAAGCCCAAGTAAATATAGAGACCGCCACATTTTTCGCAGACATCCAAATTACGCTGTGTCTGAACTAACGTTCTAAAGTCAGCCGGTAGATGATGTCCTGATTGACGCAGAATAGAGAGTAATTCATTTACAGCATCACGGGTCTGGTTTGTATTTGCTGCCCATTGACCTAATTTCTGGCAAAGGTTTTCATTATCGCTATCATCGCTGGACTCATCACTACTTGTGGGTGGCCCAGGATCTTTATTTGGATCATCATCATCATCTCTACTTGCTTCCCCTGGATGAGGTAGATCATTGCTCTCTGTATCACTGAAAGTATGATGTTCTGCATCCGACTGGTTCTCTGAAGATTCTGTCTCTATATCTCCATCTGAAGTTGACGATTCATTGACATTTTCTGGAATTTCACCAGCTGTGCGGAGTATCAACCTTCTACGTTTCTGATAGTGGGCCCACGACATGCTGGAAGATATGACAATTCATCATGCAAAAGCTTTTCACTGTAAACATCCATGGGCATCGCCAGCCTTTTCCAAGGAAAATCTATAGTTCCCAGCCATTTTGAGATATATATGCACCATCTGTGGATTGTAGCACTACTTGTCTGGAAACCATGCATGCACAGCACGTTTTGTATTCATATCCAGTATCCTGAGTTGATCTACAAAAAATTAGGATTAGACTTAGGGTTAGGGTTAGGTTTAGCCGTTAGGGAGACCGGGTAAATAGCGAAAAATGGGATAATCGGTCGTTTAGCCACAAAACATTGGCGACTGGTTGACCGGTTGAGGAGCCACTAGGGCTGTAACGATCCACCGAATTCGAATCGGATCGAGATTCTCTTCCCTCGATCTGATCCACAATATTTTTCCCCGTATTTTCGATTCCACTTCGATACCACTTTTTCCCCTCCAATAGATGGCGGCGCTACGCTATATACTGTGGAGTGTTACCAGAGCATATAAATCACTGATTGTAGAGTGTTACCAGAGCATATAAATCACTGATTTAGTGCTCTGGTGTTACTCACCAATGTTACTCAGCGACTGTGCAGTGTATATATATACTCTCTAGATTCTCTAGTCTATTCACCATTTAGTATTCAATGGCAATTTCTAATAATTTATTATTGCAAGTAAATAAAAATATAAAAAATAAGATATCATTTCAATATTTTGGGAATCGAATCGAGAGGCTAATATCGAGAACCGGATCGAATCGAGAGGCTAATATCGAGAACCGGATCGAATCGAGAGGCTTGTGTATCGTTACAGCCCTAGGAGCCACGGCCTACTTTTAATAGGGTTAGGTTTAGGGTTAGGATTAGAAGATACCGTACATAGAGACTGCCATAACTCTATAGACAATGGTTTCAAAAGTACGGCTGCCGTAGCAGTAGTCTGTGCCAACAAATAAATGCTACGTTGTTCGTGGATGGAAAGCCATTTTGACAATTTCATGATTTTTTTACTTATTCTTACCCACTTCAGCTTGACATGCGCAGTTGCATGACTCAACGCAGTCTCATACAGTGATACACATTGCAGGACTCAATGTAGCTCTAGTAACTATAGCCCGTAACTAGAGCTAGACTCAATGTATAACTACTATTAAACTAACAGTAACACTAACAGAAACACTATTCACTAACACTAACACAGTACCAGTTCATATAGGTGCTGTATAAACCAATAAATTGTGCCCTAAAATTGTTTACAATCTAATATTATTTTAGGTCCTGAAATATTACGCAGAGGCTACTGGTACGGCAGCCGTATCTTAATGTCTCGAGACTGCGGGTACGGCAGTCACACTACGCATGCGCTGCAGCCGTATCTTAATGTCTCGAGGCTACGGGTACCGCGGTCCCACACACAAGTACAAACATTAACCCTATCCCTAACCCTAACACTAACTCTAAACCGACTCGGCTATCTTATATACGCGTGTGATAGTACCCAATTAATCTATGGTGTATAAACTTTTGCTTTCAATATTTTGCATCTGAACTAACAATCAATCCCTACCAACTGGTGTAGGCTAGCTGGCACAATGATGTTTTTTCATACTTCAAATCTACTTCAAAAGTGTTTTCTAGGGTGATACTCCATTAGGAGTGTTTCCAACTGTCAACCAATGGTCTTCCAATGGTCATAACAACATATATATATATATATATATATATATATATATATATGGTCATATATTAGTTTGTGGTTTAATGTAATTTAGGGTAGGGTTAGGGTTAGGATTATCAATCAATAATCATGAATCATATCAAAGTTGGGAACACTCCTAATGGGGTGTTAGCTGTTTTCTAGCTCATCAAGAAATCTTATTCGTGAATTAAATCATGAATTAATTTCCAACGGCATTATTTTGTGGGAAAGCGACGCATGCGCAAATGGACTGACGTACTCGTAGCCTTGATACATTATAATACGGCTGTCGTACCTCCAGCCACTGCGAAAATATTAAATAGCACATAAAATAATGTCAGATTGTAAAAATTTCTAGGGCACAATTTATTGCCATATTGGTCTAGCTTGTCAATTCGAAGACACAAAATCAGTATAAACGAAAAGTGTGAAAAACAAGCAACTGCGCACATGTCAAGCGGAAGTTCCAGAATTATTTTTACCGATCGGTAAAAATAGCCACTGGCACTGCGATAGACAGTCAGCACTGATCGACACTGTCTAGCAGACCAGTTTCAGTTTGGGAGACACTTTCCCCCGGGCGTAGATGGACGGTAACGTGATGTGGCTCCACTTGTTAGGATTAGGGTTAGGGTCAAGATTAGGGTTAGGGTTAGGA